TCTGCAATACTCTGGTGACCTGACAGTTTCATCAAACACAGATTTACTCTGGGCACAAAGAAAAGTCTAAGTTTCCATGCCACCCCTGCCCATAGTGCCATCTAATATTCTATGGCAGTGCTCAAGTCCAGCTTGGATAGGGTTATGAGCAACCTGGTCTGTCCTTGTCCAAGGCAGGGTTTGAACTAGCTGATGTTTAAGGTCCCTTCCTACCTAATGATTACTTCTCCAATAGCAGTGGCAGCACCCTGGCCACATGGCACTTGATGTACACCCACAACTCCTCTGCCCTTGATGCCCCCTGAATTGCAACCCCTGCACCCCTGCCCATTACACATTATATCTGTCTCTAAACTCAATAGTCCAAACCCTCAAAGCAGTTATTGTTATTAAACTAACAACCTGGCAAAATCCCATCTAGATAGAAAAAATAAGTACATCATCACAGTATTTTATAAGCTTTAAAAAAAAGATGCCCACTTCCTGGAGACATTCAAGGCTAGGTTGAATGGTACCTTGAGTTGCCTGATCTGCTGGGGTTCAACCAGCCTATGGTGGTGGGTTGGAACTTTCAGGTCTTTAAGGTCCCTTTCAACCCAAGCTATTCTAGGATGCTATGACTCTAAGATGTTACACACTTTCAATCCATTTCAGCTTCCTACATTCACAGTAGAAGTTAATTTAACTTAATTAATTAAAAAAAAAAATCTACAACTGATCTCCCAAACCAAAACCAGTTAAACTCTAGCGTTAAGAAAACACTGAGTTTTGAAACAGTAGCTTCCTAGGAGTCTTCACATTTTTCAGTCTCCCTTTTTCAGTACTCCACAATGATTATAGGAGATACAATTAAAGCATACAGCTGAGATTGACTAGAAGCTAAAGCGTATAGTTTCCTGGAAAGAGATTAACTATCTTAACTATTCAAGGACCTCATAATAAAAAAAAATAATAATGTAAATTTCCATAGCTCTGGACAGGCAGACCTTGCGGATATTAGCAGCACTGCTGTTCAAAAGTTTATACAAATGACCTCAATCTCTGGTCCAAAAAGACACTTCTGCCTCTCCCACTCTCTCACTGTCTGCCATACATGAATACATACTGCCCCAAGCAGAGGCTTCTAGACTTAGCAAAACCTTATGATCTCCAACAGTCTCACACAAAGAATGGATGACAGCACCAACATACATTCCTGTTCCTAAAAGATGACCACTAACATTCCTTGTGCATCTGTACAGATCTGGGATCAAGAGGAGGACAGCAAGACTCACTGTGTTTATCTTTTCTTCAAAAAAAATTTTTTTAATCTTTCCCATTAACTTTCAGTTGTGATAAATAGCAAGGGAACACACACTGAAAACGCAGTTCCTTGACAAAAGAAAATTACAACTTCTAAATAATAGATGCAGCAACTCGGGATCAATTCCTGGCCCCTCTTCTCAGGAAATGTTTAGATTGGAAAACAGGATGTGACTGAAAAACTCATAATGGTAAAAGGAGTGTCCATGGGTGAGAAGTGTTCCTAAAAAAGTGTTTGCAAACCCTCAGTGTACTCAGATCATCTTGCTACCAGAACACACAGCGGTTTCTGGTACAGCAGAAGATCTATGTCTGAATTACTTGCTTTCTGTAGAGCTATATTGTATGTGCAAAAGCACAATCAATTCCCTGAAATAAGCAACACAGGGAAAACAAATCAGAAATACATATAAAACAAATCAGAAATACATATAAAAGAGTACAGTGAGTAGAAGCAACCTCACCAGCCTCACAGGACAGGACACGGGGATCTACGTATGGAACATCAGCTCTCAACAAAGAAAATTATTTTCAACTTCCCATTATTGTATTTTTTAAAAAATGTATGAAGATGTGAAGAAGCCCACACTACTAAAAGATTCAGATTCAAGACGTTGCAGTCATATTACTAAAAACTGGAGGCTTTTAAAGGAACCCTATTTTGTGGTACAAGTAAAGAAGAGTTTTAAACAATTTATTCTCAGTACAGTACCAGTGATCTTAATAAATATTGCAACTGGAAGAGGTATCCAGTAACCTTCGTAATGAGAGCTGTTTGATCTAACACAAGGAGTGAAATAAAGCCAGCTCCCTGAAGCCTCTTCTGCATCTCAATCCATTCTGGTAGGAAGAAGGCTCTTTATTTATGGCAGTTCAATGAAAACTGAATTCCAGTCATCAAATCTATTATTCACTGGATGTTCCTTAAAGACATATTTTTATATATATAGCAAGCACATGTTTCAGCACTCATCATATTAAAATCCTGTTACTAAGGTTCCACATACAAAACTCCTGGTAATGAGGAGATTTTCCCTAATTTACACAAAATTGCATCTTGTATCATGAGAATATCCTCCAGAGGTGAAATAAACAAAGACCCACATTCAATTTTACAGGCATCTTTTTAAAAAAATCTTATTTTATTCCAGTAGAAGTACAGTGATGATCTACTTTCTCCGTGGCTTTCGGAAAGCACAAGGATCACAGGATCACAGAATCACAGAATTGTAGGGGTTGGAAGGGACCTCCAGAGATCATCGAGTCCAACCCCCTGCCAAAGCAGGTTCCCTACAGCAGGTCACACAGATAGGCATCCAGGCAGGTCTTGAACATCTCCAGAGAAGGAGACTCCACCACCTCCCTGGGCAGCCTGTTCCAGTGCTCCATCACCTCACTGTAAAGAAGTTCTTGCACACATTTGTGCGGAACTTCCTATGCTGCAGTTTCCAGCCGTTTCCCCTTGTCCTGTCTCCTCTCACCAATGAAAAGAGTCCGGCCTCACCATTCTGCCCCCCACACCTTAGATACTTATAGACCTGGATCAGGTCCCCTCTCAGTCTTCTTTTCTCAAGGCTGAACAGACCCAGTTCACTCAGCCTTTCCTCATAGGGGAGATGCTCCAGGTCCTTCACCATCTTTGTGGCCCTCCGCTGGACTCTTTCCAAGAGATCCCTGTCTTTTTTGTACTGGGGAGCCCAGAACTGGACGCAGTGCTCCAGATGAGGCCTTACCAGGGCAGAGTAGAGGGGGAGGATCACCTCCCTCGACCTGCTGGCCATGCTCTTTTTAATGCACCCCAGGATGCCATTGGCCCTCTTGGCCACAAGGGCACACTGCTGGCTCATGGCCAACCTGTCATCCACCAGGACACCCAGGTCCCTCTCTGCAGAGCTCCCCTCCAGCAGGTCATCCCCCAACCTGTACTGATGGAAGGTAACAAAGGGTACGACTGGTCCAAGGCAGTCATTCACACATCCAGGGGCATTTTGTGACTCAGAGTCAACAGGGTTTGATACCAGCATTTGGATTTGGATTCCGTTCCTTCAGCTTAACTTTAGGAGAACTGAAAGATCACTTGAGGACAATCTCCTGTAAGCAACACGTTACGGAGATCTCCTCCCTACCAATTCCATCCAGTAGGGTGGACTGAGACAGAACTGTGCCTGTTACCCTAGCAATATCTACCAAATTCATCTATACTCAGTAGAATTGTGTAATCAGTCACATATGTACAAAGAAACATTTGGATCGAATAAACGTGTCCCATATGTCAGGAGACCCACACAACACAACCAATAACATATATGGGAATAAAGAGCAAACAGCGTTAATTGGCTTCAGGGACTGCAAAGGCCTGAACAATACTTACTGGCAGTAGCTTCCAGTCCCCATAATAGTAAAGCTGTGAACACACACACAGTTCATCATTAGATAATATCTCAGCACGATCTCCTCAGAGAGGAAGCCAATTACAAACTCCCCAAGTGGCAGGAGGGCAGCAAGCAGCCAATACAGACTGCTTCGATCCTGACTGGTGCTGTGATGAAAAGGCAGATTTTTTTTCTTGACGTGACACAAACAAGATGAGGGCAAAGGACTATGTCACTGGTGAATTTGTATCTCCATGATCCATCAGAGACAGCCTGGAACAATTAAATTTATGCAATGCACTTTGCATCTCTATCGGAACCTCTGTTTCTGCTAGCAGATTTTTAAAACCAGATTATAACCAGACAGTTCCTTACTGATTATTCCTGTGCAGATGTTAAAGAGCAATTACTATACTAGCTAAAGTTGTTATTATTGCAAGATCCAAATGTTTTCTCACGATGTACCGCCTTCTAGCACTAAGATTGCTGTAGGTCCTAATTACTCTTAGCCATAGCCAAGTTACACTGCCAGCTCATCCTAGGTCACTGTGTCTTCCTTAAGTGGGCTATCAAAAACACACTCGCTGTAAAAAAGATTACAAAGCAATTTGCAATGTGCAGGTCCCATTGGAAGCATTAGCTCTCTCCATAACGACGGGCAGAGGACTTTAAAATAAAACAGAACTTGGGAAATGCTGTTCCTAGTGAGCATATCAGCCTCAGAAACACTGCCTGGGAGAGGGAGCTCCCTATCCCGTTCACCACATCCAGGTTTAGAAAAAGAGAAACAAACGATCACGCACACTCCCTTAGGAAATCCCTAGGATGTGTGCCCTGAGCGGGTCAACAGACTTGTTTCCTCCTTCCCTTTACTCCCACAGAATTAAGTTTGACATTTATTGTATTCATATCGCAGCCTCACTAGTGATGATCGGATCGCTTCAGGTTCGCTCATACACAGCCCGTGGAATTCTTAGAGAAACTGGAAGCGTTTGCACGGCGCTCTCGAGCTCTCCTTCAGACAGCCGCGGTCAAACTCACGAGCACGCTTCCGTGGCACTGCTCACAACCCAGAGCCCAGCCAAGCCGTGCCCCGGCATCCCGGGCACTCCGCAGCGGGCAGGGCGGGAGGGCTGGGGGGAGTGGGAGGGAGATGGGTCAGAGGGAGGATGTCCCGGGAGATGGGTGGGAGAGACAGCGGGCGAGCTGGGCTGGGCTGCAACGCCCCCCGCTATAAACGGAGGGGCCGGGTAGCGGAGCGAGAGGAGCGGCGCGGCCGGGGAGGGAGAGCCCAGCGAGACCTGAGGAGAGCAGCCCGGCGCCGTGCCAGAGCCGACGGGGCTGAGCCACCCGCTCGTCGGTGTGCCCGTGCGGGGCTACGGCGGTGCACGGCCTCCGCCGAGCCAGGTAAGAGGGGCCCCGACCGCGGCTGTGCAGAGAGAGCTCGGCCGGGAGGGCGCTGCCGGGCCCCGGGGGGCAGGAAGGCGGCTGTGGCTGGTGAGGTAGGGTCGGGTCCGGCTGCGTTTGGGCATGGGTAGGATGGAGTTGGCAGAGGAAGCACCTTATCCTGGCAAAACGCAGGCATTTAAATCCCGCGCCCTACCTTACCCACCGAGAACCACTTGTTAAGCCGACATGTACTTGTTTTGGAGACGGACGGACAGACGTCCCTCACGTTCACAGCCTGCCACGTGCATGAGCTCTCCTGTCTTTGTCATCTGCCTGAAGATAAAGCCGAGGCACCCTCTGCCAGATGGCACCAGCCAGGCACTTCCCAGCAGCCAGCCCTCCTACCCCTAGGCATAGGCAGATGAGAACTTAAAGCGTTTTTTTTAGTGTTGAAATCTATGATGTAAGCTAAACAAAAATCAGCAAAAGCAGTGCCGAACATTTTCTAGACTTCCGCAAATACGTTTCTTTTCAGAAAAGAAAAAGAAACAAATAAGCCAGACAGTACAACTTCTACCAGTTAGCAACTAGTGCTGGTTTCATCCAAACTGAAGTAGCATGCAGTCTCCATAACCAGACTTACACCTACTTCCTACTTCCTACTTCCGAGCACAGCTTTGATTCTTAAAACTGAATACAGAACGCCCTTCAACATCAACGGGTGAAATTCTGTAACACTTACTGCCTCCTACTCTCCCTACGTTAAAACACCAGTCATTTATTGATATTGGAGCTCTTATTCTTCCAATCAAATCCACCAATCAGATCACGGTATGGACAAGCACTAACTTTTCAGGATTTAATTTTGCTAATTTTTATATTTCTACAAACACACTGGAGTTAATGACTTGTATGGCAATAAGTGACAGCAGGATTCTGTCCAGAGCTTGCTACAGTTCACTGTAAATTTCCATCCATTAGTGTCTGTACTTGTTTTGACTGTTGTGTTACACAGTATGGAGCAGTCTAGTAAACAGACTCAGGCAAATTAAAGCCCCAAAAAGGGATTATGTTTTTGTTTAGTTGGTGGCGAGGAGCAGGAGGAGAGGGGGCTGTCATACCTTTTCACCTTCGCCACTAACATGATTAGATTTTTGCCTGAGCAAGAAGGACTAAGTATGGCCTGGAGCAGGTAATTACCATGGTGATCTAGAAGGGCTCTTTCCGCTCTGTCTGACAAATGTTTCACACTCCTGACTGTGTCAGTCCCTTTTGCTTGTTGCCGTCATAATCTTTTATAGTATCTTTCAAAAATATGAAGTGTCTACAGATTAAGTTTTCATTCATTTATTAAGAATTTTAACTGTGTGCCTTTCCATCAAGAACATAGCATTTCTGTTGCTTTTCCCTATTACTTGAACTGCAGAGCAGAGAAATCTCAGTTATTTCTCTGATGCCCTCTCTAGTTTATGTTGCTAGACAGAGAAATAAAGAGGTTGAGTACAGTAAGAGATGGAAGGCATGTTTATCATGAAATCATCAGTCTCATTCTCTCCTTACTTTTAGCAAGATAGTAGTTGGAAAGAGTTAATTTTTGTACTGGAGGAAAGCAAAAGTAGAACTATTTCCTGCCTTATTGCTTGGAAAATGTACCTTGCTTGGGTTGGACGGCATATGTGTAATGCAATTAGAAGTTACTGGCTTAAAATACAATAATTGCCAGCCTGAAACTCAGTGCAGCAGAAGTGAGGATAGTGCTGCCTTCCAGTTTAAAATGTCACAATTCCACAACCTGCTGAGAACAAGATGCCAAATTTGCATGTGCTACCTGCTGAATATTATAATCTTTAGTTTGGATCAATGTCTAAAAGTATCTGGAAACGCATCTTTTTGCTACTGGTTGTAGCACTGCAGAAGCTGAGACATGCTGAACAAAGATAGTGACTTATTTACACTTGCTAGAATAATTCTGCTGAAACATAGGGGCTGTGTTTACAATCATGCGTATAGGAGTTGGAGAGCCTCACATGAAAAATTTCAGATAGTGAGTAGTCAATGCATCTTTATTACTGCTATTTCTTATTCTCTTTTCTGTAAAGGAATACATCTAGGGAGTCTACTTGCACTTCCTGTGGTTCTTCACTACGGCTCTGCTTATTAATGTGGTAGTTTAAAGCTGCCATGAAGTACAAACTCCTATTACACTGTCCCAGTTAAACTTTTTATGCAGAGTTATAATCTTGGATGAAAATGTTTTATAAACAGTCACAAATTACTTGTACTTGATCACTTTCTCATCTTATCCTTGGACCTTCCTGCTATCCAGAAGTTACTAATATGAGGAGTATTCACAAACTGTCTTAAGACCATTGCTGCCCATGTTTTAGGGCATCTAAGCACGCTGAGAGAACCACCCAGTTGTTTCTTAATGCCTGGCACATCTCTGTCCTACACTTCAACTGTCCTTTTCTCTCTTGGGGACTTCATAAGAGTATAAGTTTTGTCATGAGTTGGATAGTAGACATGGATATTTGTGCATTATTTTAATCAACTACTGTGACTCTCTCTACTTGGTTGATATTGTGCTTTTTTTTTTTTATTTTATTCTTTAGAGGTGAAATAAACTAAAATTATATCTCAATATATTACACATAAAGCTGAACTGGGGAAATGGGCTATTAAGGGTAGACCTACTTAGGCAGTCCACTCTCACCTGTCTGCAACAGGAATATTGGCAACTAAGCAACATATCTACTCTGGCAACCAAAATGCTAACCTGAAGAGGTCTGAACAACAGCAATAACCCCAACACCCAAAGCTGTAACGAAGAGAGCTTGGGCAGGTAAGTGAATCAGCACAGTCAGAATGGAGACTGCTTATTTAGTGGGGAACTGGATCATACTTATTCCAACAAATGACAGAGCATAGAGGAAAAGAGGAAGTGAAATAAGCGCCAGCATTATGTCATCCTGATTCCAATGCAAGCTAAAAATTAATTTCACATCAGACCCCTGGCAAATTCTTACATCTTCATTTTAAGCCATCATCTCTCTCCGGAGAGTATAATCTCAAAATTCTTTCAGACTTGCAAGCCTCATAAGGCTTACAGTTGTGAGAGCTGGAACATGGTATAACCCGGTCACTACAGGCTCATAACAGTCTTTTTGTGTTGTTTAGCTAATCCAGGCTTTCAGTACCCTCACTGCAATTTTAAGCCTTACCTGGCATCCTGCTGATGTCTGCACCTCATGTTCTCAGTTGTGCAACAATTCTATTAGAAATACATTGGCCCTTTGTACTTACATTGTGTTCTGCCGTATGTTCCTTTCAAATTTTAATTAGCAATTTTGCTGCATTCTTGGGTAGTAGTTCTGATTTTCTGACAGTTTCTCCTTCAGGAATCTATACTATTTTTAAGAAATCAGCCTCTGCATTGCTAGGATCAAGTTTGAGAACCTAGGAGAGAGGAGTGCACAGCATCACAGAGACATGTTAAATATTTTGTAGAATTCTGAAGACAAATGCAAAATATGTATTGCTTATCAAAAGAAGGGAAAATGAAGGGAAGACGTTTTCTTCTTTCTTACTCTTGTATGGTTAGTATATGTCAGGCTAACAGGTATAAAAGGGTTGCATTTAGTGAGAATTGAACCTAGCTAGTTATGAAGACATGCAGACAGGTTATATTCTAAAGGTGTGATATTATTTCACAGGTGAATCAGAGAGCAGTTCTAGCATTAAAATTTTACACCAAGTTGAACATTTTGCATGTAGACACTAGCTCAAATACATTAGAGTTTTAAATAGACACAGAAGGATTTACACTTCAAGTGTAAAGGTGCACGGCCCTCAAACAGGAGGTCCGAACACTGCATCCTGAAGGTCAAAAAGGTTCCAGTGAAGATGTTTTTCCATATACTTTTCCTATTGCACAGAAAATTACTAATCTTGTTGTTTTGTGCCACCTCCTTCTGGTCTTAAAACCCTGCAGTGAAAGCAAGCCAGTAAGCTTTTGCTAACCACAGTATTTAAATTCAATTTTTATCAACAAACGTGTCACTTAAAATCACTTTCACCAATAAAGTCATTGTACTCAGAACACTTATACCATTTTATATGCCATCTTCTAAGACTTATCCTTTGCCCCCCTCCAAAAAAAAAAAAAAAATTGACAGATGTTATCTAGAAGAATGTGTTGTTTTTGGAACATTTGGGGGAATTTAACAAATCTGACAAATAAACACAAGAAGTTATGATATCTGCACTTTTTCTTACCTGCACTGTAACAAGCGAGTGAAAAGAGGTGATCTTAACTGTAAATCCTAACAGTTGTGATTGAGACAAAGTGCACATGAAATAAAATAGCTGGTCTAATGATTTACTGACTTATCCTCAGATAAATGATGGATTAGACTAAAATTACTTGGAGCTTTCAACTGAATTGCAACTAAGGGTAGGAAAATACCATGCTTAGAATGACATGCTGTTAACTATTCTCTGTTGCACCATCATCTGACAGAACTACAGATTTGGGGCTGTTAGGCATCTTTTTCAATTTTCATTCTATTTGGTTTTTGCTTGATAGCAAAACTGTCCAGGTCTCCACTATATAACAACACTAGCTAGAATGCATGGTTACTATTTGTGGTGTTTATGTGCTTTTATTGTAGCTGAGTGGCATTTCTCTTATAGGCACAGAAAATGGGTAATAACTGAAGACTACCTCTCAGCAGGAAAGTGAGATCAGATTGGCAACGAATGGCATGATTGAAGACAAAAAGCCAGCTTCCGCACAAGGTAACATTGGCAGTATCTAAAGAAACTGGTACTGAATTTGGGCAGGGGCAATGTTTAGACAGTATTTCACTGTCTGAGGTAAAGGCTAATATTAGAGTTAAGGCCAGAACAAAGAGTGATTTAACCAAATGCTTGTTTTCAGCTAAATCATCTGTTCCTGTATTTCTGGGTCAAACCAATTTGACAAATTCTGATCAATAGCTGGCTAGTGGAGTCTAATAGTCAGTAGATGAAAAACAGGAACAAAAATACAAAATAAAGCAGCATTCCTGAGTCCTCTCCATTTTCTGAAAATTGAGAGGGTAACACTAAATGAGAGCACTGTGCCTCAGCGTTTTTAGCTCAGAGGGACTCATGCAAATAGTAAAACATTCCAGAAAACCACTGAACAGCTGTACTTTTATGCTGGGGGGCTTACGCAAGGGAGAAAAATGCACTAGCTGACTTCCCTAAAAATGTTCTGTTGGCAGTTATCCTCAATTTAACCCTCCTTTAGCATCATTACAGCCTGGGCAGACCCTTTGCTCAAAGCAGCCAGCACATGACATACAAAGATGCAGATTGAAGTTGTTTATTTATAAAGTTAGACTGAATGGGGCATGGTTTATAAGATGTGCGTCTCCTTATTTTTCTTCACAAAAATTGTTTTTTTGGCTTTTCTCTCTTCTCCCCTAATTCGTGTAACCTCAAACTAAATGTTTATACAGTTTTCCTTTCCTCCCTATGAACCCAAGACTGAGTCAACTACCACTCTTGGTAGCTGCCCAGAAATTTCTTCCTCCTCAGGTACTGCAGTTCATGTGGGTCAGGAAAACACTTGTTTTCTAAGTGGAACTGTAACTCTTCTGCTGGATTTGTCTCTGTTTTACTATTGGCTTTGTTAACTGACCAACAGCAACTTATGTTAGGAGAGTTGCAGTTTTTCCTTAAATCAAGCTTTTATTTGGGTTAAAAAAAAAAAAAAAAATATATATATATATATATTTATGCACGTGCTTTCCAAAAAAACTCTTTTAAAAAGGGCTTAAAAATATTTTGAATGCAAGTACATTGTTATCATGCTGTTTCGTTTCACCAAGAGTTCTTATGCATACCATCAGGAAAAGTCACATCAGTGCAGGACAGCCATATATTCCTCACCTCAATTAATAGTTTTCCTAGCAGTGAGTAGAGCTACTGTGGCATATTTTGGAGTGCACAGTGCTATCCTTCTCAGTTATGTTTGCTTGAAAATCAGGAGTGCATTTTACTCAGAGTGCAATGATTCACAGCATGTGAGCTTACCCTTGTGGTGTTTTTTGTTTGTTTGTTTTTAGTGGATTTGGGTGATGTTTATTTTTATCAGGTTTGGGTTATTTGGGGAGGGAGAAGCAGGGTAGGGCAGGTGCATTTCACCTTTTTGGGCTGTGCCATCCTTCTTGGTTTTGTTATCTTTCTTGGTGGTACTCAGTACCTATAAGGGAAAATTCTCAGAGCCAGAATGGTAAAGAGATTTCAATAATTGAATAAATTTTACGTTGGGAAAAAAAAGCATACAGGAAACAAGCTATACACATTTGGCAGAACATCTATTTTGCTATCATTCTATTAAGCATGCAGCTTTCCAGACAAAGCACTAGGGATCACAGTATCTGTTTTTTTCATGGGCAGTAACACCTTCCACACTGTTTTGAATTAAGGTATCTGACTCTGAGCTTTCATTCTCTTTGATTAACCCCTTAGCACCTTAGTAATCCAACTGACTTGTATCAAAAAAATCACAGATGCATCGCTTATTTTCGTGTTTGGCTGCTCATCAGATTTTCTCCTAGTCCCCTAAGAGGAGTTTTGTTTAAGTGAAAGCAGGACTGGGCCTCTATGTTCTCCATGTTACACTTACTAACAGCTACAATGCCACTAATTTCTCTTGGGTTTAACTGCATTACCATTTTAAAAGATTTTGGGGGGGAAGGAAGGAGGGAAGAGGTCTGAATAACTCTTGTACTTCAGCAGTTACCCATACTATTTTCTTTCCTTTCTGCCTTTGGTTTCCTTTTTTCTGACCCTAATGAGGTATTCATTAAGAAGCCTCCATGCTGATCCTGTGCTTTTAATCTTTTAACTTTTCCCTCCAGGCTGTTACTAACATTTTCATTTAAGGAAAAAAAAGTCTTTTCTGAGGCAGATTGCCATAGTGCAGTATTTTCCCACCATAAGAATATCTAAATTAATTATATAACAAAAATAATCAAGTGTCTCAATCAGACCCAGTGAACCAAGTCCTGATATGCAGGGCTGAATTATGACACATGGAAAACAAAGCGTCTTTTGAACATGGGCGTTGAAATCTAACATTCATTTCCTTACACAGAAATTCACAATACACTTGCTTTTGCTTTAGAACTTCTCCAGTAAGACAAACAATATTTTTCACAATGAAGTCAAAAGAAAAAATGCTCAGCATAAGATTTGTTTTTCCCCAGAGCCATAATGCCTTGACTAGCAGGAAGTTTGATAGGAGTCACCAGCCAGGTTACTAGAAATGCAATGCTGTACTGGCTAACGTGGAAGTTTTAACTAACATGACAAGGTGCTTTAGTGACTTTGGTATGTCTTTGTCCATGTATGAATGCCGCATCTGCACGAGTGCTTGTTTTTCAGTTAATGTTCTTGCTACTAAAATTTATCAGTCACTTTAACCACTGGTGATAGGTGAGAAGCAGGAGTGCAGTTCATTAGAGCTTTTTACATGAATGAAAGCCTCATAAATAACTGTGTGCAAATTTTTTTTTGTCTCTACCACTTTGACAGATTAGCTGTTGCTGCAGATGAAAATGCCTGTATTGCCCTGCACAATGCATTTCTCAAACTTGAGAAGCCTCCTCTAGTTTATTTATCATTTCACATTTTTATATATATTTCTATGTATCTTCTATATTTTTAGGTAAAAAAAAAAGTAGAACTACAAAGTATAATCTGCAGATAGGACTGTGTGTTCTTAGACATAAATAGCTTTAGATCCCCCCAAGGCTCCACCCGTATTTAGCTTAATGGCAGGTAGAAGTCTCTTTGAGGATTAATGTATATAAGTAAGGCCTCACACACAGCATAGTATTTCCATACTGGTCAAATATTGCTGATGTGCTCTACAACTTAGAGGAAATTTATGCACATAAAGTCTTGTAGCACCTTTCTTACTGTTTTACAAGGAAGTACAGAAATGCAGTTCCATCACTTCTGTCACAGGATCTTTGACATTTTTAGACTCCACATTACTTTTGTTTTCAAGAAGTTTTAAAGATTTGCAGTGGGAATATTGTGCCATCATCAGAATAGCTTGACTGCTACCACTACAATGCAAGTTTCTTTAATAGAACTAGACAATGAGAAGGTGACTGAAGTACAGACAAATCAACTGGTTAAATTGAAAAACGAGATCATACAAGTGAGAAAAGAAAACAGGAAACTCACCTTTTCTCAAGTATTTGATGTGAGCTCAGTTTGCTAATTATATGTGCATCATTTCATCAACATTGCCTTTCATTCCTCAGTTCCATGAAGGTAGCCATCTGAGTACTGTTTCTTCCTGCCAGGTCCAGTTCTTGTCATAGCAATGCTTGGAACAACTGGTACCTCTGAGTTGTACCTTCAGCTGCAGGTGCTGTCTTTGTATATTCAAACATTGTTAAAAAGAGCAGATCTTCAGGCTAAACCAGTAGATATTTCTGTGCTGCTCATAACGTTGTCTCATCCTTGAGCAACAGCAGAGGAGAAAGGCTCTTGTTTTGCCTTCAGAGCAAGCTGTGGAAGTGGCCTTCCCAAAATAAGACTACCTTCCAGGTGATAGCTGTGTTCCACTCAACTTGTGAAACCAATGAGTAGTACAGATATCTTGATAGCAGAACTAAGGACTCACTAAGACATTCACTTCAGCAAGAGTGAATGATCAGAGACTGAAGATATTCCCAACAACATGGAAAACTGTAACTCCTTATTAAGCTCTGAGCACTCTGCAGATTTTCTCCCCTGACTTGGGAAGGAAAAATGGCTGTTAGTGCTTATGAGCTTAAGCTCATATGCTTATGAAGATACCCACAAGATCCAGTGAAGAGCACCACATAGCTTTAAAGGCATAAACTGATTAATAGGTATAAGATGTACCCAGTAAGTCAAACCGTGATTCTTATACGTGACCTGAATTCATATGTGATATGTCCTCTTCTGATAGGAGACCGGATAAGCACTTTCAGCGGTGCTTTTTTACTTCAGTAAGTCCTCCCCCACCTTGTCTCTCCAAAGCCTTTTTAATGTAAGGCTGGAACATAGAATTGAGTGAAGCCAAGAATTAATAACAGCTCCCTTATGCCTCAGGTTGGCGGAGTTCACTGTAGAAGTTTATAGTTCATTCTCCATGGAAATAATGATGCTAATAGATGTGTGGTTAGGTGTCCAGAAGCTACATTTGTGTAGAATGTGCACTGCTGTGCAATTAAAAAAATACTTTAAAACTTCTTATTCCATGGAACTAAGCTATCAAAATAGAAACTTAAAATTCATCAAGTTATTTCACTTGCTCTTAGCAAACCTGAATTTGATTTCTGTCTTTTATTAAAAATAATCACATGGGGCACACTATATTTTATATAGGCAATTCTGGCTGCAATAAAGGAAATGTGTTAATCCACTCATTTACTATCATTTGGAGAAAGTAACTGTGCATCACGTAACCTTTCACAGCTCAAACTAATCTCACTTTTATTCGTTCTGGGACTTGATGGCTTCATTCTTGTTAACTGTGGACTCTTTTGGGTACTTCCAAATACCCTAAGGGTACCTACATAACGAGACATCACATCTGAAATTATGAATGTACACTGAACTGTATGTTTAGAATAAAACAGCATCTTATGTTGCCCTTCAAAAATTTTTACAGGTTAATGTTGAAAATGTTAGAAGTTCTAGAACTGCCATGATTTGAAAGACTTTTCTCTTTCTGCCATTATGCCTTAAATGGGGCTGTT